AACTGTGCCCAAGTCGGATTCGGGATGGTCTACCACCGGCAATAGCTGCTCCGGCACATCAATACATGTGCACCTTGTTATCGGGGCCACCAAAGTCACAATAACATGCCTATTTTATTACACTGAATAAACAGCAGCCGCACGTGCATCTTAAAATAAATGTGGTATGTTTGGGGCTGACACTCTGTTGTGCAAGTTCGCTTAACGGCGAAACGCGCTCTCCGCAGGGGCTCCTGATGTCTAGTCCAATCGGTAGCATGAAACTGGGGCGGCAATCCATCGGTCAACATCGTTCGTTTTTGGAATGCTGCTGATAGTTCGTTTAAAGAGTTGCACGGCATGTAATAAAGCAATTTTTACTAATAACTGCATGCGTGCTGCCAGAACGTCTGTCACGTCTATGTCTGGACATCGCAATCTAATTTTCCGTGCCTCACGTCTGCAGAAAAACACGAAAATGGAGGGAATGCTTTGGCACTTTTTCTTTAATATACTTTACCCATGGATCATCATACAGAATAGCCGTTTCGTAATTCCTTCCACCAGCACGTACATGCGCGTTTATAATCGCTGTGGCGATAAAAGCCCCTAAAAAACCATGCCCTTTTGAACTCAAGGTGGCTAGGATTCGAATGGAAAACACTCGCGTTCTTTGTTTTTAAGCATCATCTCATTTATAAAAGCATGTCTCCCGGTCGGAGCAGCCGCTATTTGGTTACACAGTCGAAACTTGATAATTCGAGCTCGAAGGGGTCCAAAAATTTGTTCGAATTAAAAGTTCGAATTAATGAAAACTAAATGAATGGAGGTCTCACCATGCAGTGGGGCATGTGCATTGAGCTAACACAGGAGGGGGAAGTTTCAGAAGACTTATGTTTCTTCACAAATCACAGGACATCCATCAATAATTGAAGTACTTGGTGATGTGCATCTGCACATGTTTGCTTTGCAGCGAGTCAATTTTGCACGCAGCTTGCAAAGCATTTTTTCTTCGACTTCAGCATTCTCCTGGCAAAAGAAGTTGCGCACGGCATTGTTCAGCGCCTACACTTTTTGAAAACGGCGACGACAACGACTGCGTCTCCGCTGATGCAGCCGCAGAGTGGCCTGCATGTGAGGAGAAAGGAGGAACATCTCCTCGAAGAGAGAAGCAGATTAGCGTTTGATAGAGAACCAGCACTTCGCGGCAGCTTTTTGTTTTCTTGCTCTCTTCGCGAACGTTTTTGAAAGGGGCAGGGTCTATGTGGCAGGGACGGGAAAAGGGAAAGCGTGGCACTGACGCGTGAGACAAAAGCCAACAGTCTGCAACAGCTTTCTTTTTTTCCTCTCTCTTTTGCGGTTAAAAGGGGGGGTGGGGGAGTGATTTCTAAATGAGAGAAAAGAAGATAAAAGCGAGCCCCGTAACTGTATGCATCTAAGTGCGAAACCTCAAGAGTGGCTCACGAGGGAAGGGGATAAAGAGGGATTAAAAGGGATGGAGTGAGAAGTAAAGATACAATAGAGAAAGATGGGGACACGGTCGAAGGAGTCCGAGGACGGGTACCACTCAGTGAGAGCTTCACGGCATCAGGAGATGGCGGAGGGCGAGGCAGTCGGCCAGATTTGAAGGGTTTTTACATGGCAGGGACGGAATAGGGAGAAGCATGGCACAGGCGCGTCTCAGATCGGCATTTGAGAGAGAGCAAACATTCCACCGAAGCCTTTTCTTTTCCTTCGCGCACAGAGTTGAGGTGTTGGAGGTGCCGCCGCAGGATTGGGCGTGGTGCTGAGAGCATTCTCAGAGTGCGGTATGTTCAAATTAATTGTCGCAAGTGCTCGCGCGTTCGAATTATGAGGCTTTTTTGCCCATTGGAATACACATAGGTTTGACCGGACCTCAGCATAAGTTATAATGAACCGGAAGTTCGAATTAAGCATGTTCGAAATAATGAGATTCGGCTGTAATACACACAGCTATGGTGAAGTCATCGCTGGCGGCTCTGGTGTTGGAAGGCCTGTGAAGTGACTACGCCTTGTTACACGTCTGCCTCTCGCTTTTGTGGGTCAATAGCTGACAGTTAAAAAAAATTTAACATCACGGCATCACATTTATTGCTTTGTTTTGAAGGGATGGGTGGAGGGGAGGTTGCTGCGTCGCTTGAAGTAGCTGGCGTGTGCTATCTCGAGGCATAATGAGACTGCTCGTGAACTTTCTGTGCTGCTGATTGATTGATTTGTGGGGTTTAACGTCCCAAAACCACGATAATGTTACGAGTAACTTGTTTAATGATCTATTTACAGCGCACAGAACTCGACGAGCATGATGGCGCCAGACCAGCATCAAACGAACACTCACTTCGTCCTCCTCTTTCATGCAGCCGTGTTTAGCGGCTGTTATGTATCAATATGATTATGAGAGACGCCGTAGTGGAGGGCTCCGGAAATTTCGACCATCTGGGGTTCTTTAACGTGCACCCAAATCTGAGCACATGGGCCTACAACATTTCCACTTTCATCGGAAATGCAGCCGCCGCAGCCGGGATTCGATCCCGCGACCTGCGGGTCAGCAGTTGAGCCACTAGACCACCGCGGCAGGGCTATACTAAAACTTCAGAATATAACCTCCTTGCGTTTGAAGCCCAATTGGTGTGCATGCCATATAGTCGTCGGCAAGACTTTGTCCGTAGGATGGGGATAGAAATCTGGGTGGAATCGTGGCTGTGGGTGGGACAGAGCACTCGCGGAAAACTTTTCTTGGCAATGTAGGGAAGGAGCAACTATGGTGCCCATAACCCTAGTGCTACACAACCTCTGCTTCGCGTTTAGATAACTCTCAGCACGAAAGCTCCGGCAACTAGGGTGATCATCATTATTGTCCCTTTAGCCTGCGTTCTTTCGAGTTTCGTGATGTTGGCAGTATCGGATCTAAAAGATTCAATTTGTTAGTTTCACTTACGCCCTTAGCAATGAATGCGATACCAATAAGTCGTATTGTTATACCAAATAATAAGGCTTGACATCATTCATGAAAAGTGCTAGCAGCAGGGTTACAATTTCTGAGGTCCGTGCACTCGCGAGAACTTACTGCACGCACGGTATTCGTTATCTGGAGCTTGGGGGACTAGAGACCCTCGCCCGAAACATCTGGTGCATGCCAATGCATGTACAGATAAAATCAGACTTCTCTGCAGTGCCCAACCAGCCGCTCCAGCGAGCGTTTTCTTCAGAAATATGTAAAGAGAGACGCCGTAATGTTACCAAACATGGTTGTGCTGCGTGTCAGACCCTTGTGTTGTAATGTAAGCATCAACGGTAGCTTGCAACTAACGTGAGATAGAAGCCGCGGCCAACAACAGTGTCGACAGGCACACGCTGTGCTGCTGACCAGTGTGATTCTATATGTACAGTACGAACGGCACGTATGAATAGACCTCTGAAATGGCGCGATGATGTTGTGGCCGCCTTGCGATCAAGGCTCAGTGCTGATATAGATAGCGAAGCACTTTTCGCACAGTCTGTTTGCGTTGAGAGTACAAAGTAGAAGGGTATACCAGCCGTAAATAGCGAGTGCACCAGCGATGACACCTTTGAAGTCAAAGTTCATAACAATGCCCCCTCCTCCTCGCGTTTCTAGCTCCCTCCTGTTTCTTGTACACGAGCGGCGAGTTCCTGTCTGTTTGAGTAACAATCGATGGGAGGCCTGGCACGCGGGGTGATGTTATCACATTCGCCTTTAGTGCAAAAAAGATAGGTCGGCTCTTCTTATTTCTGTGTTAGCCGCATTTATCACCCCTCGGGTGTAAAATACGATGGGCCGGGAGATGTTATCGATTGGGACATTACACAAAACATGGCGGCCAGTGGCGTAGCCAGAAGGGAGGAGCACATTGAGAACGTGCCTCCCCCACCCACCTCTGAAATTTTTTCCCCCATGACATATCTAGCACAAAATTACCTTTTGCCTGCCCCCCCCACCTTCAGATCAAGGTGCAACTCCCCCCCCCTCCAATTTTTTTTTGTATTTCTGGCTACACCCCTGGCAACAGCAAAAACCAGTCGAGAATGTGCATATAATTGCTATCCCATTAAAAACAAAATCAATCTTGCCTTCGAGTTGTTTTAGGCGTACGTATAAGATACCCTGTGAGATTTTTTTTTATGCACTGCTTTTTAGAGAACATGGTTAGGGGTTTTTGGAGTATAAACATAATGCCCTAACCACATAAAATATTTCTGCAAAAGGAAAATGAAGTTTGTTAAATTGTGTTGCAGTTTCAGCACAGAGATGAGTGCTGGAGGAGGTTGGCTTTCCGAGACCAGCTGAATGACGTCATATTACGTCCAGCCGTCTAGTCATTTGCGAAGAAAAGAAACCTTTTTTTATTCTTGGAGTCATCTTAGGGAAATGCACTAGGGACTGTGTGAGTCTCTATCGTTATATGTCACAGCGTTTGTCTACCATATTTGCTGATAACCACATAGGTGTCTTTGTATTGTTATTTCATGAAGTACAAAACTTTTATTCAATCATTATTCTATTGTTTGGCTACAGAAATAATCACTGGACAAGTTTCTCCAGAATGCTCAAGAGCATGATGCCAATATTCTTGCCCCATAAACTGAAATAGGTAGTGCTTCTAAGATGACTGGCTTCATGTAGTTTGCAATGAATCTAAATATTTCTAGCTCTTCACAAGAGCCTCAGAATGGTTTTCATGTCCTTGAATGTGAATGAAACTTGCTTCTCCTCCATGATTTGAAGTTAGCTGCTCCATATTGCTACAAAAGGGAAAATTTTACTGCTCTAGATTGCTCCAAAATGGAAAATTTTGCTGCTCCAATGTGCTCCAAAATAAAAAATTTTACTGCTCCAAAGTGCTCCAAAATGAAAATTTTGCTGCTCCGAAAATTGCTCCAAATCGGAAGACCTCGATGGCATCACTACATCTCTTAAACATATACCTACTAACTAGCTCAGCTCTCTGTCATTCTAAAGTTAGTTTATCTTCTTTTATACACAGGTCAAGGACAGCAGAAGGATGTGGATGCATCATCTGGTCGGTTGAAAGACTTGGGTGAGATTCCTTCTGCTTCTAATCCAGGTAACTGATGCCAGTGCTTGGTTTTTGTTGTCTTTTTGGGAGGGGGGGTTCAGAACAGACATTGTTTTTAAATTTTATATTTTTTAAATGTGAAATATGAGAGTTGTCTAAACATATATCTTATGTTCTTCAACTATATCAATAATTGTGAAGATCCAAGCATTTGTGATATGGGGTGTTTTACAAAGATTTTGTGCCGGTCCTGTTCTGGCTTGACAATCTTTTCAATGCAAATTTACTTAGCCAGGACTTATATGGACATGTTTATTTTGTTAACTACATTATTGCCAAATAGGTGTATTTTATATTATATTTTATATTATTTTCTGGCCATGTTCAAACCTTGACAAGGGGATAATGTCCAAAAAGGCACAACACTGCACCCTCTTTTTTTTCTTTTATTTAATTGGTTAGGCAACTTTGAATACGGCAATGCAAGGGAACCAGACTCTGAAGAGGAGCTTGAGCCACCCTTGCCAACACAGAAGGGACTTGCCTCTGTAACCAGTGGATCAGCATCTTCAGGCGCTCAGTCCATTGTGGGTTCTATGGGAGGTAGTCATCCAGAAAAGCCCCTTGATGCTTCTGGAGCTGCTGGCAGCATGCCTTCCTTGCCATCCCAAGACGACAGCCATTTTTTTGCCTACTTCTTGGCTGCTGTGGTGCTTTGTGTGATTGGGTACTTGGCCTTCCACAACAAGCGCAAGGTATGTTCTAGTTTTAGACAGCTCTTTTATGTGTGATGGATCATTTGTCCCTAGTAGCACATTAGATGCTGTTGGCGTAGACATTGCACCACTGCATGTTGCGCTCTCACCTCTGCAGTAGAAGCTTGTTGTCAGCATTACAGCTTTGCCACCACTTCACGAGCTCTCGCTTCCTGGGTAGCCTATTGTCTGTGTTGACGTTGCCTTTTGCGGGTGAGGGTGCGTTTACGTTAATTTTCATAAATGGCTGAAAGAGAATGTGTGGTCTGAAAAGCGCTTATTCTTCATCGTCATCATCATTGTCATTGCGAGCACCATTGTTTCCAAGAATTCTCAAGAGGGGACTCCGGTGCTCTGATTGTTCAGCTGGATGTTCAGCTACCATGGGAATGATGAGTAGTACACAAATTTGCCTAGTCTTCAAGCTTGGCGGCTTTGAACGCACCTGTGGCTTTGTTCATTGCTGTGTTTCGGTCGGACCATTGTGAACTTTGTGGCTTGATGGAAAGTGTAAGCTTAAGGGCTCGTTTTCTTTTGGTATACACAATATTAATAAGAAGTAACAGTCAGTAATGCCAAGGAAAGTATAGGGAATCTTAATAAAAGTAATTGTAGTCTAAATGTGAAGAAAGAAGAGTGGACAAAAAGATAACTTGCCTCCGGCAGAATTTGAATCTGCAACCTTCGAATAATGCGTCCGATGCTCTACCACTGAGCTAGATGGTGGTCATCCCTCCGTCCACATTATAGACGGTTTCGGTGTTTGTAAACAAACTGGCTCGCGCCAAACAGTGTATCCCAGCAGACTTCCCGTGTGCCACTTCCGGCAATGCTTTTTCAATGGTACTGGCGGTGTTTTCGTGGTGTGTTTGAGTTCACTGCTCTATTATTTCTGGCACATTCCTTAGTATGTATTTGGTGCAATGTCTAGCGGCTACATGAAGAGGCTCGGCGTAGTGCATGGCAAGTACATGGCAAGTTACATGACTGCATGGCCGACGAGCGCCGTGTAAAATCTTCATCATGGCGTTCCGATGAGCGCAGCCTCCTGCTTCGTGTTACCTGTGGCAGTGGCCGCGCCTGCAGGAGAAGCTTGTCAGCAAACTTAATTAAGCCACTTGGTTCTGCATGTCGATGTGTATGCACTTTGAAGACGCAGACATGGAATTGATAGCGCACACCTGTCTTTTCCCTGTCCGCATCTTCAAAGCGCACCAACATCATTTACATGCAGCAGAAGAGCTGCCCGAATCATAGTGAAATTGTTCATCACAGGCCCCGCCGTGGTGTTCTAGTGGCTAAGGTACTCGGCTGCTGACTCGCAGGTCGTGGATCGAATTCCGGCTGCAGCGACTGAATTTCCTATGGAGGTGGAAATGTTGTAGGCCTGTGTGCTCAGATTTGGGTGCACGTTAAAGAACCTCAGGTGGTCGAAATTTTCGAAGCCCTCCTCTACGACCTCTCTCATAATCATATGGTGGTTTTGGGACGTTAAACCCTACATATCAATCACTTGTTCATTCCAGCTTTTTTACTAGAACTGAAAACCTTCCTCCTGTCAAATTGCAAATATGTTTCTGTTTTCGTCTAAGCACACAACCTCAGGATTTTCGTCACACCAGGCACTCTTTATAGAGATCAGTGGCGTTTGAAATCACTCACGATCTGAAGTGTTTGTGTGACCGAAAAATTATTAAGTGTACTGGTTATGTTATCATGCCAACTGTGGCTGGCTCACGCAAATTATTATGGTTTACTCACGGGTAAGATGTTCATGAATAAAACTATCACAATGCACTCACCTAAACCATGTTCACACGGAAAGATAAATGAGCTAGAATGTGGCGATATTTATTAGCGGCAGAAAGACAGGCGATGAGTTATTTGCTCGCAGATATAAGTGCCCATTTGCCGGCGTCGCTTTAAAAAAAAAGTCAAATTCAACGACAATGAAACGTGGGCACCACGATGTACACAGTGCGGCGATTCATGTAGAGCACGGCTATTTTGTGTCCTATGTTGTTTCAAATAGTATGCATCATTAATATCGCTTAGAGTATACGAGAAACACCTTTCCGATGCATTTTAAATGTTAGCTTTCACGTTTTGTTACCCATTTCAGGCGTACACCTATCTGCCACAGGCGGGAGATGACAGTGGGTGGTGTTTTCCCGGTAACCGGGACTACTGACTAGTTTAAAGTCTGAGTATCGCTACTGTGCTATTAGTATGCGTTGAGTTTTACATTGCCACTAACGAAGTGCGCAAACCAAGCCTAGGCACTCTTAACGGGAATCTAGTTTTCTCGCCTGATCAAAACAGAACGTTTTGACTAACATGACTTGCAGACATTATCCTGGCTTGACAAAGCTGTGCCCGAGTTGTGAGCGTTTCATCGGAGTAATTTTATCCGCATAAAACGTCGGAACAAAAGCAGCCACGGCTAACAACAAAGGCTAAAATCACGCAAAAAAAAGAAACTAAACCGGAAGTTTCTTGGGGTGGTTTTCTGGTGAACGAACAATGTTGCCAGAGACCGGCACGCTCTAGCGAAACCGTCTATAGGATATATATGTGCATTTAAACGTGGGATCGTCAGTCAGCGCCATCTGTTGCCATTTGGGTGAGTGTAGAAACACTATTTTGTGTTCTTACAGTCGCCCAAATGGCAACAGCTATGTGCTCACACTGATTTTACTCATTCCTCAAATTGGGGATTGGAGGTGGACTACGAGCACTAATGAGGGAGGGAGGTGCTGACACAGACTTTGGGGGGGGGGGGGGGGGGGCGATAGCTTTCTACGGCTGCCCTTTTGGATCCGCCACTGTGTCAAGCAAAGGCGAAAGCGTGATAATGCGGCAAGAACTCAAATTTACGGACCAGGTAGCTAACGCGATATCTGAAGCAAGCTCGATAACGACACTTTTCTCAACAGGAAATTGTGAAGCGCAGATGATAAGGGTGGGATTGCACGTGCCATGTTGAGCCGCGAATTGCCGGCAGCAAGTAGCCGGCGCCATGCTATCGATATACTAGCGACGCTAGCACACTGTAACTGCGTCGGTGCCGATGCAAAGGCTTCTTGGGCAACCGTGGCAAGTGCACGCTGCATGCCGTGGTCTATTTTTTTTTCTTTTTCCTCCCTTCCTTCACTCATTCCGCATCCCCTCGTTCTCCGCAGCGACCTCGTCGCTCGCTCCCCGACGGCGCACCCAGCTCCTTTCAGACGTACAATCGCTGTCGCATTTGTCACAATTTTTCGGTAACCGCATTATAACTGGTCTTTCATCTTGGACTGCTTAATAAACGGTATGTGTACACATGGAGAGTAAACGGGAGTCGAAAAAGACTGAATTGTAACCGGTCCTGCACTATGAGTGGTTACGTTATACATGGGTTTTATATGATGCCACACTTAGCGGCTCGCACAGCGGCAGCCATGCTGGTGCAGTACGTGCGGAGCCGTCATGGTTCGTACCGGTCCGCGCTTGTTTTTTCTTTGCGATTTCAGGCAACTGTGGTGCTTTTCATGAGCGATGTCGACTCTTTTCTGTAAGCAGCCCTTAGGTCTGACTTAATATTCGGATTTAGAGGGGCCTGAGTGCCTTCGCTATGCCATAAAGGTGGAAATGTGCGATTAGTATCGACCCCTTCACGCTGTGACCAGGAACGGATACTTCAAGTGACATGAACATATTTCCGGACATTTGACATGGAGACATTGCAAATTATCTTGTTTTTTTTCCTCTAATTATTTGACCCTTAAGCAAATGAAGGCATTGAAGTCGACTGAGGTGCATAATTATTTTACACGCGGTTGGGTCAAGGGTCTGTCGGCTAGACAGTTGCAAGATGACGAGGTACTTATGCTTAGCAAAGGAAATTGCAGGTTGTCTTTTTATCTTATTTTTAGAGTTAAGTAACGTTTAATCAATGCACAAGTTATTTATAGTGTGACAATCCACTCTGCTATTTTTTATCACTCGATCCCCCCGAAGGTCCATCACGAGTTCTTTTTTTAAGTCTTATGTGAAAGGAGCTGTTAGTTTGTTTAGTTTGGAGGCTTTGCTATTTAATGCATTAAGAAAAATATGGAATCGCATCAAAGAGACCCATATCACTTGCCGTGTAATTGTCAACCAAAAATTTAAGTCCTATGCACTCATCGCATCAAGCAGTGAAGGCCTGCTTTAACTGATCAAGCTTGTCGCGGTTGCTCGTTTTGACCACAGTTTCGATGGTCTGCCTACAAACGTAACACAAGTTAGCTTAGACATTAATTGTCCCGTTGTGCATAATTGTGCATCGTGCACCCAAATAAACAATGTGTGTGTGCAACAAGCTTACATTTCACAAATTGGGCGCCACAATCACGTATGTCTTTCCTATATCAGTGTCCAGATTGGCGCGTCTTATCCAGGCCAGCTACGATGTCCGTCGATTTGCTTAATTTTTTTGTACAGTCACAGTGATGTTTGATGGTCTTGGGAGACTGAAAAAGAGTTTGTTGATTTCACACAACAAGTGTGGTTGGAACAACCAACAACAGCGCAGATAACCAGCGCAACGCGTCTAACATTATGGCAGCATTCACGCTGCTTCACCGCAGCCACTGGCCTGCTGCACCAGCATGGAAGAATGGTATCTCAGGATTCCTAGGTGTGAAGTCGATGCAAGCTATGTTTAACTGGTCAACACTGTGTATACATACATATACATATCTGGGCATGACGGCAATGGCAAAAATCAGCCATGAGTATCCATAGAATCGCTATCGCAATAAAAACAAAGTTCATCGCAAAGTAACAAACTATTTTAGAGTTCTTTAATAAAATGAAGGTCTGTGTGAAGTATGTTCTGTTCATGGTCTTTTGGACCTTGTTTTAAATGATAGGATTATCGTTTAATATATTTTTATTTTCAATGCCCATGAGAATTGTATTAATGACATTCCTCTGTATCTGCTATTCGACCTCAAACATTAAGCATTGGCAGACTCGAAGAGAGTGAGCACTGGCTTCTGTATGAAAAGGGGGTGCCTGAGAAAATGACAACTTTACAATACGTTATATTTTTATTTCTTCATTGAAAATCGCAAAACTAGCATATGGAGCCACCTGGTGGCAGAAACTTCCATTATCCGATGTACCCTGTCACGTGACCGTAAACTAGTGTACGAAGTCAACAATTTTCCTGTTAGTATTAAAATATTGTTTGCTTCTTTATAGTAAAACATATTACTCTATAAAAATATGTACGCATTAAAGTGGCGCTGCCTTCACATGGCGTAGTGATCCCATGCTCATCAGCACGTCTTGAGCAACTTTTTTGTTTACTCATGAAACTGTGCACGCAGTTTCAGGTTCGATAAGATGTTAGAGTGATGTAGTTTTTCTCTACAATTTGTCTCAGAAATGACGTGCACTGCTAGTTAGCATGGCCGTGCATATACGCCGTGACGTTTTTGGTGACTTGGCCTGGCTCATGTGTCGAGAAAGTAATGACGACAAGACAAGCCATCCACAACACAGGCATGACAACCTTGGGTGCAGGTGCACGCAACGCAGTACAAAGACAGAGAAGCTGTATAAAGCCACATCGTCTCATTGTAATGGCTTGTTATTTTCAAAGATAGCTGTAAAGCTCAGTATAAACAAGGTTATGCATGGTCACAGGAATTTTTGTGAAAGCAGAACAACAACAGCATGCACAAGTCGCCAGAAAGGCTACCGGCATCTCTATCGATTCTCAGCGTTGCTGGATGAAATGGCTGATCCGTGTTCAGAACTTTTCAGATCGGAAAATACTTCTTGTAACATGACTAAAGGCTTTTGAGAATAACTACTGCATTTAGGACCGCTTCGAAAGGTAAGCTTTCTGGCGCGCCGGAAAAAACCGGGTCGAAAAAATTCAGTTGCTGGTCATTTAAATAAAAGTTTGCAGCATTTTCTTAAAATGTTCATCAACCCCTAAAAGGCACATCACACAATTTAAAAAATTTATTACACTAATAGATTGTTTCAGAAAGGTTTTCTCTTTTCACATTCATAATTAGTTTCCATAATATGATTTATGAACTGCAGATTCTGGCTCTCATACTGGAAGGCAGGCACGAGCGCCAGCGGAGGCACAATGGGCATTACAGAAGGCTGGACAATACTGATGAAGCATTGTCTGCTCGCAAGAATCGTGGCAGCTTTTAGGAACAAGGACCTCACTCTAGTCACATTATGGCAGGCGGCAGGAGCTGCACAAGCCGACCTCCGTGCAAGAATTCGTGGCAACTTGCTACTGTACTATACGGTATTCACTGATTTCCCTGCCTTTGCTATTGCCTTTCTTGCACCTTGTTAAGTTTGTTTTTGCTTGAAGAGAAGCTTTGTGGAATGATAGCATAGGTATGTCAAGGAAGTGAACTGGCATAGACAGTATTCCTGGTATTCCACTCCCTATTCTGTGCTTGACAAGAGCTTGTGACTGTCTGTGCAGTGTATATGTGAGGTTTAGTGCACACATCTAGTCACAAACTCTAGTCAATCACGGTTGTGCAAGTTGAACCTTAATTATTTCAGTTTCTGTCGTTGAAATCGATTTTGTAGTATGCTTGGTTTTACTTCCCACTGTACTGATGTCTTGTGTGTAGGTCCTTGTAGAAAATGTAAGCACATTGGTGTTTACTTGGTGCTGTGAAAAGTGGGCTCAACTTGTAGTGATTCGGATTTATACTTTCACAAAGGACTTCAAATGCTTCATGTAGCTCTGAGGTTGGTATGCTGGTTTCGTATGAACCAGCTCTATGCCTACATTTCTGGTCTGTGCAGTGAACCTCCTTGGGACCCACCGTATCTTGTTCTTCCCAAAAGGTAATGCCATCACCACTACCAACAACAAACATATGCTTATATATCGGCATCTCTTAAGATGTTGGAATAGAAGGCATAACAGTTATAAAGGTTCACACATCTCTTACCTAGAAGCTAAAAAAGGTATTGAACGAGAAGTTGTAGGTTTCTCTATTTTTACTTCTGCTGTTAGTGTAAATACTGTTTTACTCTTTTGATCAAATTTTTGATACTGCAGGCATATAATATTTTTGTAATTTAATTCAACTATTTCCCAAATGTTCTTTTGAGAATTAAAAAAATTGAGTGTTTATTTAGCTTTATTAACCTACATATGGCATATATTGTTAGCTTGCTTTTTATCTGGTTGATTCAATGCTTTGATAATTGCATATTGTGCATCCATATAGTATGGCAGTGTTCATGATTGTGAATAATAGGAATTGTTACTTGCGATGTTCACAGCTGTTAGTGGTTTATCTTTATCTGAGATTTTTTCTGTGTACTTGCTTGTTTTGTTTTATACATGTTCATGACAGAATGAATGGTGCATGTGCAATGCATTATAAACCATAAAATTCATATAAAACTGATGGTTTCGTGGTTTATTAACTTTTCGCAACATGTTATGCCCGTAGATAGTGGTACAGTTATGTAGAACAAAGTTGAGACACTTTTTGGAATTAGTTTTTGTTTAGGAGAATTCATTGAACAAAGAATGTTACTAGGGTCAATGTTTTGGCGTGGGGACTTTTCATATCCCCCTGTGACAAAGATGAGCCCATTTGTCAAAGCTGATCACTTCAGGCCTCCCATCTTTCTTAGTATATACATGTCTTGTTTCGATTGCTGAAGCACGATTGTCTCGGCCCTCAGAAAGACAAATTGATGGGTATGGAGAGGGATACAATTTCAGTAACACTTTTGGAGAGGCTACATGTAGCATTTCATAGTTGTAGAATTCTGTTGTTGATGTGGTCTGTGTACTTTTGTCTTGAATTTACTGTGGCTGCAGTAATGCATCACATATGGTTCGTTTGGTGTGATACTGTCAAAATAATTTGAATCAGAAACACCGGTCTTTCTTTACATTTGTTGGTTGCTTCATGTGGATTTTGTGGCTTTTGTGCTTCATCTTACATGAAGCTGTTGCTGTGCATGCTCATCAGATAAGTAGAAATTATGAACCTTCTGAGGTGACCAGCCCCAGTAATGTACATATATTCATTGGCCTCTGTGTGTGCATGATGCTTCTTTTACGCCCACATTTCATTAAAAAAGTGGATACAGGAATTTGTTAGTTTGCTGAGCAGAAGCAGTTATAAATCGAAGCCACACTCATGAAACAGTAGATCATCAAAAGCATAGGAGTGTGTTGTGTTCACAGCAAGTGCTATGGACATTCAGTGAATGAGTTATTCAGTGTAATAATGATCTGTAGTGTCAGCTTACACTGTTGTTTCAATATGTCTGAGCTCTTCTTAGCTTGTATTTTCTGGATATCTTTCTTTTGTCCTTTCTGTTCTTATTAGGCATACTTTACCAAAGAAAAGTGAACAAAAAATGTTCTTGCTGGAGTGTCTTTCTTGTTTGCCTTGAGACTTTTTGTTGGAGACAGTTGAAATTCATGTATTGGATTGGGGTAGAATAGGATCTATCTCCAATAGCCATTGTAATCTAAATTGTATATAGGTATACAATCACTATGTCTACCAAATTGTGTTTATGTGTGTAAGTGCATACAGGCATGTGTACGCATACACATGCCATACGCACACTTAGTTTTTTTCTTTTTTAAATTACCTCATTTTAACTTCATGATGTATTCCTTGTCAAGACTTATGGCACTTACATAGTACACTATAGATTCTTTTTTCACTTTTTGTTGTGCTTTCTTTGAATTAGTTCTTCTTTCATTCATATTTCTTTTTTACTTCATTAACTTGTTGTGATTACATATTGTTTTTTAACAATTCTTCACACGTTTAGATACAGAAGTTTAATTTAGCTTTCAAATGAGCATTGGTTTCAGTGTACACAACCGAGTACTCGTTACTGCAAGATGCTACATGTCCATTTATTTTGTTTTTCAGTACACTGTTCTAGACAACTATAGTGCTAAGTTTCTGACGGGTCCTTTTAGAAAAATAAATAAAAATCGCAAGCTTGGTCCTCTATAGACCTTTTCATAGACGGCTCTTTGGACGCCATCATAATTTTCTCAGGGCTGCACCAAGCTGGCATGACCCACCAAAAAAGCACTGCTGAAGCCTTTGTAGTCCTGCATGCAGCCCAGCATGGTGGCATTTTTTCCGTCGTGTGAAAAGGTCTCTACCGTGCGAATTTCTGAAAGGAGCCCTGAACCACCTTTCGTGCTTGGTGAAGAAACACATACAGCAGAAAGCAGATTTTGCTGGGAACAGCTCAGCCGAATCTTGCAGTCAAGCACGACAAGGAATGTTCACAAGCAGAGCCTGAAGTTGCCACTTTCTCAAGTGCCCTTTCTTCATACAGAGGTCCGTATTCATGCTCGTTGGAAAGCTGTCATACAGCAGATCTTTTGTTGCACTACAGACACTGATATCAGTCATTAGCTGGCATAAACCACGAGCATGCAAACACAAGTTCGCTTGAGGATCACACCTAGCGAGAGTGATCATGTTTCATGGCACAAGCATTATGTAGCTTTGTTTTTCCTCTGTGTCATTACTCCTTGTGAAGCTTCCAAATCTCCAACTCCACTCATTCTTGACAGATTCAAAAAAATTTTTACGGCAATCATTTTGCGAGGCAATAAGCGGGGACAGCGAGGTCAGTCGCTGGTTATCTAAAAAGTGGTTCAGGGCCTGTTTAAGCACATTTCTCCTATACATGACTGCTTTATTTCGCATGACTTATTAAATGCATAAGACATGCCTAATTGGTTTTTGTAGCTGTAATTAAGAAGGTCTGTTGCATACTGGGCTTAATGGTTACATCTGTGTGTTGATGCTAATATGTGTGTCATCTTTAGTTAGTTGGTCAGCAAGCCCTGAGAAACGTCTTATTTTTCCAAATGCCCACGCTGATTACCAATTACATTCTTTTAATTGTGTCAAACTGCTTTGTTTAGACCATACTTGAAATAAGAACAATCGACCCTCTTTCAGCAAAGAGTGTAATGACTGTAAATACTGTACAATACTGTGTGTCAAGTATTAGTTTACCAGTAGATATGTGTCAAGACTGGCCTATTTTTTATTGTGTGCGGTGTCCACCTGTGTACAATGACCTTGAAAATAATTGCTGCATTGAGTACAAAAGAAACTTGTGTAACTTGTTAATGACATTTCTTTGATCATTGAGCTGTGGCAATGCTGACAGCAGTTGATGCCTGAAGGCAGTAAGCTGCCTCTCATTAGTGGTGTAAGGCCCTTCAGTTCACCCTTGGTGTATGACGAGATACGGATGAACACAGGATCCTTGTCGCCATTCCTAGTGAAACTTGCTCCAGGTGCAGGTTTTAGACCGAGACTATGACTTCAAAGTTACTTTTGCAAAAAACAAATTTTGTTCACCAAACGAAAATTATATAAATTTAGTTTTGGCTGCAAAGAACACTTTTCTTCAATATGGCTATTTCTTAACTTTGAGATTACCTAGTGAAAGAAAGGTGAACCTTTTAGTCGCAATATATATTCTCACCAAAGAACAAGTGAGTTGCAATCTCAGGTGTATGTTACTTCCTTTTTTTTTTTTTGAAGGGGAAAAATTACACACATGGTAAATGGCATGAAATATTTACGTTTCAAGATTTTATTGCTGTAGTCAAGTTGAACTGATGACAATAATGCTCATTACATAGTGACTTTCATATCTGTGCTTTTCTTCAAAATATTTTTTTTTGTTTTCCTATTGACTGCTATGCTACAATGTTATACTGAAGCTTATGTGGTTTACTGAAAATTTTGAAGTTTAAAAAAATGTCCCTGATTTGAGCTGAAGATGTTATCTACCACTCTATAAAGAAATGTCGTGGTATTTGAGTTGCTAAGAGGGTATAATTCTTGAGATATGACGAGCAAAGCCTAGTGTTTATGCTATTAATTATTGGGCGAAAGTTATTCAAAATAATTGTATGCTACATAATCACAAAGCAGCTGTTCCAAAACAAATGTGCAGCCAGTTTTCTTGGTGTAGCAAGTACTGTCTTGTGATTAACCATTCGGCAAACTGGAGTAAACAACTTGTAGGGTCCGCCACTTGAGGCTTCTGGGTACTCGCATCACATCAGCGCCCTTTCTATTACAGGCGAGCTCCGCTAATGTGTTTAAACGATGATCAGAAAGGAATTAAGATAAAAATTAATCACTATGAAAAGTAAATGCTGTTAATTGCTTATAAGGTGAATATTATGCTGCAAAAACTGCCGATGATGTTGCAGTGAGGACCTTTGGAAAGCATGCATGTATTTTTGCTTCTTCTGTCATCCTGAGGTCACGTTGTATGGTGATAAACGCACAGCTTGTGTTGAATATAATGTCACAGACACACAAGGATACGGCATTGTATCCGTCGTACTTTTGTTAAACTGACTTCAACGCCCTTCTAATAACGCTCACTTGAAATCAGCGTTTCAGCATGAGAAGTAGAACAGCTACATTTTGAGTTGTTCGACCAGCATCAGCTTGCCTGACAGCTTTCTTTACATGTCACAAACTTGTGTCATGTGCCATTTGCTGTTGATGGAGTGGACTTAATTATTTTTAGTCTGTCATAAAAGAGGAAGCAACACATGTATGTGCACAACACTGGAGGCACTAACTGCAAACTACCAGCACAGTTCTTGTTGCATGATATAAACTAGTACGGCTTTCATTTTTCACAAAGATACATTCCTTAGCTCGTTCATTCCCTGAACTTGGTTTTCACATGCAAGCTGATTTTGCACTCTAAAGGAGCTACAGTGATGTAATGTGAGCACCCTTCACCGTGAGTGCCTGCCACCACGGATCATCTGCTCAAGTTCGCTAGCAGCTAATAAAAAGGTAGAGCTTGTGTTCTGTGCAATTTGGGTACATTAGTTTTCTTTAACAGCTTCTTTGTGACTGTGCCAGGTGGAATTGCATTCAAACTACTTGCACCCGATTTGTAGCTCGTAATTAATGACCTGGCCACTAAGCTGAGTTGGTCATAATTGACGCATTTCGGCTTGTCAGAAGCAATTTTTTTTAATGCAGAGTGTTATATAACACCCTTGACTCCAGAAAAAAAAATTTTTTTAAATGGCCTTTCTGAAAAAACCATCTTAACGACGACATTTTTTGTAAAACACATATGTTTCAGCGCACTACTGAAGTACAAGTGTTCATATGAAAATTTAAAAAATTATTAAAAAAAATTATTTCCAAAGGAAGCTGAATTATCAAGTCAATATATACCAAGTTGTACTATCCTCATTTTAGCTTGTCTGCAGCAGTAAACTCCGGAAATACAGGTATTTTGTGCCATTTCCTATATTTGGCACTTTCTGCAAAGTCATTGGACAGCAAAGAGAAGTAAGATACTGTAAAGATTGCATCTCGCTAGGTGTGCTCAAAGTTCTGGAATTGCTGAATTGGCAATATTTTAAGTGAATAAAATTTTTTGAATAATGTAATGTCTAAATCATTGTTCTGGTTTTAAAGCCTGGGTTAGTTCGAGTGAATTACATAGAAATCTGGAATCGTGATCGAGGCATATATGATAATCATTCTTATCTGGACACACCCCCTCTTAAAATGCTCCATTACAAATAATCGTCAGTACTATAAACAATCCCCATTGTAATTCCAAAAAGGATGTTTGGTGGTGGATGTTTGGAAATCTGGTGATCATTCAAGCATATCCATATGACATATAGCGCACATTGGAGGAACCAGCTTGTGAAAAAAAAAGGGGGGGGGGGGGGGCACTTAAAATCGGACCTCATAGGCAAGTCTTTTTTGGACATTCAAATGTTCATAGGACTTAGAAGTCTGGACATTGACTTCCTGGAACACTTGTCAGATTTTAAATCCAAACATGTGTGATAATTCTGGCATTTTTGAAGTCTTCTAAGAGTTACATACATCCTTCGGTATCATATTAACAAGCCTATTATCTAAATTAACAGTTATGACTATTTGGCTTATTATACATTTCCTTATTATTACGTATGTTTTGGCTAGTTTTATGAATTTGTATGTATGTTTTATACGCGTATGATGACTGCACAATATTGTAATTTACATTAAAAATGTTGAATTTGCTTCTGCTGTGGATGTTGTGTCCTAAGCTGATATGTTGTCATCCGTGCAACTTTGACTATTTATGTGGTCCTATAGTTGCTTTGAGGGCACTGTGCTTTGACAACGTAACAGCACAGTACAGCAAGTCAAGCAGGAAGCACATGTTGGGTTCTTGAAAGGGTACAACTTCTAAAGCATTGAGAAAGCTTGGTCTTGCGGTTGGTTTTGTTGGGAGTATCGCTTCAGTCATACCGAGGCTTTTTCAGTGCTTCATAAGTTACTCTCTATCAAAGAACCAATGTACTAGTTTGATGCACCATGTATCCTTGTTTAACTGTGCTATTCCATTCACCAATAAGTACCTCAAGGCAACTAGAGCTCATTATTTCTGGTAACTATTGCATGAGTGACAACATATTACCTCAGGACACAAACATCTGCTGCAGGAGCACATTCAACAATATCTACAGCATCCCCAGCGCGCTCAACATACTTTTTTTAAATTGAATTGGTACGCAGTCATTAGAAGTGTAAAATACACTGAGGAGGTATTCTCTATGTGTCCACCTAGTGGACAAGTCTACCTAGTAGGCAAGCCGGGACATCATCTCGCTCTTGACCACATCGATGCACTGAACTTGCCGGTATATTCGCAGCATAAGAATAAAGAAAATGGATGAAATATACCATGACTGGACGCTTAAACAAACTTGATGAGCCTGAACTTGCATTTGAATATGTCCCAGATGCTTGTGAAAAATGCAGGGTATGCAATACTGACCTTCACAGGTTCTTTATATGGGTAGCAGCATTAAACCTAACTCGAGAGCTAATGTGATCAGAGTTCATGCACATAGCTTCCAACATGTGTGCCAAAAGCGGATCTGGAGCCTGTGTATTCGTTGTCTTGAAACATAAACCTCTCATTTGTGTTTAAAGTTGTGAAAGCTTTGCGATGTCGAGATAATGGGGACGATGAACCAGGAACTGGGTGCACTCCATGCCAAGCTCCGGCCAATCTATGGCGACTGAAATGAACTCTATGAGCACATCACAAATAGTGCTCCAGTACACTGTCATCAGAAATGTATATAGTACACAGCT